TCAGACAGCTAAGGGGGTTTTTACTGCAAGGTTTCCTCCTATGTAAATATTAGAGTTCGTAGACACCTGCATGGGCCCATAGGGCGCCAAATCAGGCTAAATGAAATCAAATTCAAATAATAATAATAATAATAATAATAATCTGAGCTCAAAAGAGTCACCCAATATGTACATAATGCTCTGATTATGTGCCAAAGCCAGATAGCTGCACACACCTAAGTTATATAGAAAAATTCAATAAAATATTTATTATTACCATGCCAATTTATAAGCTCTTCTCTCTCTGAAACTTGGAGAGCAGTTAAGTACTTTCAATGCTGACAGTCTGAACCACATGGATTAAGCCTCCAGGAATCCATATTTTCCCTCTACAAAAATAAGGCAAGGTCCCATAGTAGCCTAGTGATCCAGATTCGCAGCGAACACATCGAGTTTCATTCGAATTTACACAGAAGAAAAGTAGAAGGAGTCTACTATGCATGCTGCACGTGTGACTACCAATCACAGAATCCCAAGCCCTTGATAATGTCCTGCTCTAAGTGGTCAAGTGGTAGGGGCTAGATCTGGAGAAAAGCCCGATAACGCTCCTTTGAAGCAATGATAAACAATCCCGGCGACATTTAAAGAATAACGCAATAGATACTTGGTCATGGCTGAATAGAATAATTCACATGGTATGTCCAGTCGAAATTTTGCTCGGGGAACAAAGCAGGACCGACACAAAATTGGGATCAATACAGGAGACGTGATTAGTACCCCAATACGGCATTACAGTGTGATTGTATTTTCTGAAGGATAAATTGAAAATTCAAGAAACAAATAAGAAAGCTGAGATTATTTTCACCGAGAGGTTTCTTCCTTTATAAATATATAGATCTGTTAGAATTTAGAATAATTGTGGCTATCATGTAGGCCACATTATTGGTACACACGTGACTATAAATTCTGTCTTTAATTTCACTTCGGTAGCTACTTGAATTAATGCGCTCTCCAACCTCAATGACTGAGGGGTCGTTATTTCCTTAATAAGATCGGTTTAAAGCAATCTGCTTGGACCTATAGGGTGCCAAATTAGATCAATGAAATCATGTTAAAGATTTATTCTGTCAATAATTGTGAGCTTGATGATGGCCAGCAAGACGAAGAATATCATGACTTGTCATTTAAGATAAAGGGCGAAAAGGGCATTAATTAGAAGATAGGACCGATATAGTAAGGGGTGATTAGCCCAAAGTAGGTATGCGCATTGTGAATGTAGTCAGAAGCATCATCATCTTAGAGGAGTCAAGTGCGTGATACATATATACACGTGTCATATCCCTGTCACTAATTACCAGACCCCGCACTGTCATAAACACCATCAATCTCTGCTATCCATCGCAATCCCGAGCATCAATATGAGTTACTATTATACGGTATGTTTGTACGGGTCGATAACAAGATAGAAATATTAACAAATCAAATTCAAGAAAGAACTCTTCTCTCGCTTCTCCTACGACCCAGATAGTAGTGTTCTCCAATTGTGATAGAAACCGAGTTGGTGATGAAAAAATCGATTTAATAAACTCTATGAAGAAGAGAAATCTAACTACAGCTACAAGGTACTTATAACATTTTGTACGGAGGGCAAGACTGAACACCTGTACGCGGTGTCCTCTACGAACCTGGGAGTAAAATATTCTCCCAGAGCCAAGTTCAGTCAAATTTCGCAATATCAAAGAAGTTGGCCCCCGAGGCAAAAATTCAAATTACTCCACCATGTCAATCTTTCACTCCCAAAGAGTCCGATTCCCAACTAAGCTTCATCAAGTCTACAAGTACGACCTAGTACATCCTCGTTTCAATGACCACACCTCTCGTCGACTTTCTCTGGCCTCGACCACCAAATACACGCCCACGCCGATATTTATACCCGACGGAGGAAGCAAAGCGTGGAGCACAAATCTGGGAGATAGCTCTTTGGGATTGACGTGAGGGGGATCGGGACAAGTTTACAAGATGATGCAGAAGAGGGATACGAATTCGACGGGCGTGAAATATCGGTTTTTGGCAAGAGTTTCACGAATTAAGCTTTGTGCGCGCCAAGACTTCGCTTGCGAGAGTGCAGCTGCCACTGTAAACACAAGCCAACGATGGAAGGTGTTGTGGTCCGCCTCCTGGTGGTGTTCTCCGGTATAGTCTGAGTAGCCTGGGCACCGATTCCGCTTGGGAAGGAGACATCTCAGATTACGTTTCGCGCGGAGAAAAGTTGAAAGATGATGGAGGCATGTCTAAGTAACCTAGGGTTTTTGAGACGTTCCCCTGGGTGGGTATTCACGGATGAGGGTTGTCTTGGGGTGAAGAAAAAGACACCATAACTTCGCTGTGGTACTTGTGAGTGAAATCCGAGGCATGAGTGTTCTTTTATGTTAAGTCATCTTTTCTATACTCCTTTGGGGACTATTCTCAGCACCTCTCAGTGGTGTCCCCTACGAACCCCTGGCTCTCACTGTAGAGTCTGCAGAGCCGAGATTGAGTAACAAGGTCCTCACTTCGACGAGGACTCCCAATCGCTTTCGCAGTCTGTATCGTCTTCATCTCTCAAGACATCCCCCTATCACCATTATCATGAAGCTAACCACGATCAGATCAGATGGTAGGGTCGGAGCCCTACTCATCAACCACCCTTGATCATGGAGGAAAAGCCATCCGATGAGTTTCCGGAGCGTACCCAGCACCCGATACGGAGATGGTGGATTGGATCAAGTCGACCTCGACTGTTACAAAGAAGGGAGATATAGATGGGTATGCGCACCTCATGTGGTCCCGGCGTCTAGGCCTCGCCTGGCTAGGGCAGCAGGTTATTTGAGACTTTTTCCCGCGCACGCAGTTTCCATTGCTACCACTTTTATTTTTTTGGTTAGAAAGTTCCGTGGAAAAGGTGGCCGAATTCCACGGGTAAACACTGAGCTGAATTGCTATTCATCACGGTTAATATATCAATGATCTTTCAAATTACATAAGAGGCAAGAAGCACTTTAAAAGGTGTGGCCTGGGCCAGAGAGGAACTTAATGTGCTAGATTGTCTAAGCCTCAAGTAGTACGATAAACACATATCTACCTGTACATGATCGGGAAGGTTCAATATAGTGTGCGTAACTGTTGTGGTAGAGAAAGGCAGAATTTTCAGTATCTATTACTATATTGCCTAAAGCTTAAATAGCAGAGCAACAAATGTTTTCAGGGCATGAGCCAAGGAAATTTCAAATCTTGTTTTGTAAAAAGACAAGGAGAAGAAGCTTTACTCGAATATTTGAATACATCCAAGTACATGGCAGCACATATAGGAAATTAAATTGAAAATTAATGTAGGGATTTTAGAAAATTGATTGATGAATTAGATACAAGCTTAGAGTTTGTGATACTGGAATTATGAAAAATTTGGGTCGTAGCCAGATGGCCGAATACATTTTGAATTAAAATAAAACCACTTCTCTCTTTTATTCTAATTTTGTCACCAGTGCGAAGTATCCACAAAAATGGTTGAAGCTTGTTAGAGGGGCATATAATAGTAGCAGCAGCAGGATACTAGAATACGAGTCTTTGGTTCTCCCGATAGATATCTACCTGAAAAAAGGAGGATCCAAAACGTCGGGCTATCAGAAGGACTACCTGTCTGGAGATCGATACTATCTGGTCATCGAGCTTTGGTAGACCCTGAATATTGGAAAGCCGTAAATATTGTTACAAATAAGACAACAGGCAGGAAAAGGCTTACCTATAGAAACACACCCTCAAACACCATCGGAACTTTAGCAGAGCCAAAAGCAGTATTGCAGTTCAGATAAGAAGCGAGCACACTGGTCTCAATTCTTATCTGTATCCAAGGAAAGTCCCCGGATTGACTAATCCAAAATTTTGGTGTGGATATCTGTCTCAAAATTTCAAACATATGGCCTTGGCGTGTCGTCAGTGGGCAATGGAAAGAGGAGAGGTGCTTCGAAAGGCAAAAAATAGGTCATTTGCGGCAATGATGAGCAGCCTAGATGATATGGAGAGAATCACAAAATGGATCCTGGCAAAAGGCTGGTTTGAACAATTCGCAATCGCAGGAGAAGTAGAAATAGTATTGAATGAAAAAATGAGACGATGTGGACAAGGATAAGACGGATTTCACACTGTATGAACAGTGTAAACGCTGTCCTACATAGTTGTAAACCTAGATAGGACATAAATGGATAATAATAATAATAATAACAGTGTAAACGGACTTACTGTAGGAAACCTCAGAAAACAAATAGACACGAGACAGAAAGTTTTTTTGGGGGTTTTTACCGAATTTGGTTTCCTCTTGTGTAAATATTAAAGCTAGATCTACCTACTTGGGCACATAGGGTTCCTGAACGGCTAAATGAAATCAAATCAAATATAAATATTGTCGGAGCACTTGCTCTCGTAGCCATGAGGTTGGCGTTGTGCCTTAAGCACATCATTTGATACAGATAGTGTTGACGCTTCGGTGGCGTCCAAAGACATATAAATATATACATCTTAATCAGCCACTGTTTCTGCAGTTACGAACCCAATATCATTACCTGTGATATCACAGAGACTGACCTTGTCATACCATCAAATATATGTTATCAGGCAAATATTTTTGACTTTACTCGGTTATTAGATTTTAACTCTGAGAAATAGAGGACAAATTTCAAAATAAGCTTTTGTACCTATTTTGGTCTATTACTCAGATCAGTGCAAGCAAAATATTACTAACAATTATTTTGATGAAGATTGAGAACTGTTAATTTAACATTTTTCTGGATAGTCTCTGTTACTTTTCTAATTAATGTAATATATATTTTGCGAGGGTGATAGTCTAAATTTAGCTAATCTTATAATTCCATGATGGTTATCTACAGTGAGACATTTTATAAATTATTTTGACGTCATTCATGAGTATTAGGCCTGCTGCGAGTCGTCGGTTACCTCTTTTACAAATTCTTTTAGCCTTCGAAGAGTATCTATTTAGTACCACGAGCTTTCTCGCAGTACTCTTGACCAGGAGTTTCATATTCACTGACAAAATATGTAGTTGCGTTTTTGGCAATCCAATTGGTCAATTTAGTAAGTTCCTCTCTTAAACGATTGACTGACTGGTGGTCCATGTTTGTTTGTGCGATTAATTCTGGGAGAGAAACTGAAATAAAATTAGTGATATTTGAAAAAATAAACCTTTTACTAACCTAATAGGCGACATAAATGTTCAGCTCCATACGTATCGCATGGGGTTTTCCCAGCGAAATCACCCGTTGTTGATAACCATCCTTCACGAGCCTCGACGTACTGAATTCGTTCAAATCTAGATAGATTAAGTCAAAAGCAGTAACATCAGGACATATTCATACCGATAGAGGAGGATCCGGCCGAGACACTTATCGAAGTACTCCTTTACCCCAGAAATTACTTCTACTAGTATATCGGCCTGGGAACTCCCAGGGACTCTTGAGGTCTTTTCTTGCTCAAGATAATCATTAAGAATACACGTGACAGGCTTGGTAGCAGGGATAGGAACGAGCTGTTGGTTTTTTGTCACATTTTCCCAGTCGTCGACAAGTATAGCCTTAATATGATCAGGAATACTAAGTTTAATAGATGGTCTGTTAAGAAATGCGTCTTCCTAGATAACAAGGAAATCATTAGTTTGTTTATTTTCATCTAAACATTAATAGGAACCTTGAATGATTTAATGACTAAAAAAGCTTGAAATCATGGTTAATACAATTCGGCTGTTTGATCCGAGATATGTAGAACTATGATAGTGATACCTATAGTACTTTTGATTATTTCTCGTTTCAGAATAGTGTAAACCGGCATTATTCAATTCTACATCCAGCATACAGCAATGAAGTATAATTAGAGACAGAGTGGCCGAGAGCTTGTTTATGAGAAGACGTATTTTGCACAGTCTAAGGCTTGTTTACTTTGTATTCAAAGTAATAGTTAAATTTTTACTTTGAGCGGTAAGTAATTGTAAAATTCGATTTAACCATAATTAATTGGAGAAATATGCAAGAACGAGTATTTAGATATCAATTGCGAGTTCAACGTCTTCAGGGAGAGACATCCATTTATTTTCAGCTTGTCGTTCTATATTTCTCTAGTTAAAGAATCTTATTTTCATAGCTCCTTTGCTATTTGTTTCCAATATAGGTCCCGATTGAATTTATAATTAAGACAGTCTTGGGGTATTCTGTATCAGGAAAACTACGGTACAGCAATGTTTTCTCTATAGATGGTGGGGTCAAAAGAATCTTTGTAAGTAATCGAGTTATCCTAGTCCTATAACTTGGTATTTTATGACTGAGGACAACTTATGACTATCCACAAATATTTGTTCTAGCTTGATACTTAAATTACACAAACAAGGTGATCTACAGCAAGTAATTGGTTGTAATTTTAATTGGATTGTTTTTGCTGAGATTATAATGTCCTAACAAGTTTTTTGCATAGAGTTAATAATTGAGTAGTTTGATTTTGATCCAATTTTTATGGTGTATTTTGCAAATAGCTCGATGAGTGATTGTAGTATTCTATTTTTTTCACTGTATTTAAAAAGCGGCATAGATGAGAAATTCCGTCTCTGGAAGTCGCAAGACAATGTTTTTATCAGTGTTTCTAGACCTTTGAAAGTAAATCTTAGGACGTAGTGAAAATTAATTGCAATGGAAGTAATAGATTGTTTCGTTGGTTTTCAGGAAATTTGTCCAGAGGATGGGATCTTTAGCATAAGGTGTACTCTTTTGGTCTAAAACTTTTTGTATTACACATCCGAGCTTGAGCTTTTCGGCTTGAGATTTTGCACTTCTTTGGCAATAACAAAGTGAATGAGGCTATATTCCAGGTTAAAACATTTTATACAAGCAATATTCTGAAAGTAATTAAGTCTGGTAAGCACATTTGGATGCATCATTTAATTGCTAGCATAGCTTTGATGGCGAAATTCATCGAGCCGCGAGATGAGATTCATATAGTTCAGACGGTAGATATGAAAGCCCCTTTATAGTTGTAGTTGTAAAATTTTTAAAGTTACTGAAAGTCCCAGTTGAGTCGTATTTCTTAATTTCAAATTTGTTATTTCCATTGGGGATTTTGTAAACTTGGCACGAGAAAAATACCATCTGAGAATTAAAAAAGTAAACTGTAATTCTAAAATCGGTCCCTTGAATTTCTTTTTTGAAAGCAATTTTAATATCTCACGAAAAAAAATTCCCAGTCATCTCAACGATCTGAAAGAACAATAGCAGTCAAATGTTTATCCAATTCCTGTTATCTTAGAATATTCATTGATATAGCCGGTTTAATTGGTTTTTATGGGATCAAATCGAGTAAAGACCTTGGTTTGACTTAAGTAGAACATGGAATGGCTATCCAAGTTTACCAAAACATCTGATAGAAGCGCCCATCCGTCAAGATATTGTTTTATATTCAATTCTATCACCCAAAACAGGTGTAGAAGAAATGAGAGCTATTATTTGCAAATAATTGCATCCCAGAATTTTTATGCGAATTTTTATGCAAATACAATTGTAATAGTATCATTACAACTGCAGCGCTCCCGAGATATTTCCGAGATTTTCTTCATATTTCTATACCAACCAATCAAAATATCCATGTAGAATATAGATGAAAAAAAGTTGAAAATTACATTTTGGTTCCCGCGAAAGAAGGTTACTAATGGGGTAGTAAATTAAATTAAAACTTACTGTTTCAACATCGTAATCTCTTTGCCTTCTAGGTCCCCTGGCGCTCTGCATAGCTGTTCCTGCATGCCTTTCCTCGCTACCTCTAGCACTGGAGATATCGCCAATATTGGTAGTTCCACGACCACTAGATGATTTTTTACCTTGCCTGCTTGAAGTTGATTTTTGGTTTGTAGCTTTGACGGATTTCATCTGATTATGAAGCTGGGCCGCAAGTTCTTTATTTTCGTCTGTGAGCTTTCGTACTCTATCTTGAGGAACCCAATCATCCCAACTAATACCAAAAATGCGATCAGCGCAGGCTAAAGTAAAGAAATTTATCAAATACAAATTCCACTTTATTTCAGGAATTTTATATTGAGAAAGCTCATAGAAAGTATTTTGGTACAAAGAGGAGGGTAGATAAAAACAAAATTCATGAATTGACTAGCAGTAACATAAAGAATATCATTCTCTATCTTGTGGGGATATAACTATATTATATTTATAGTGGCCCTTCGGAATTTACTTACTATAACTTATCAGTACTGCGTCTTCTCATCACTTAAAGCAAGTCTTAATATCAATGACTTACCGTTTTTTTCCATCCTTTGTAGTGAATCTTATATTGCCAGGAGACATTATCCTCAGTAGACCTGACGTCCAGTATCTTTGCCTCATAGAGCATCTCGTGATGAAAGCAGAGCACACGCTCGTCTTTGCTAAAAGGAGCCGCAGTAGATGACGATTTAGTAGGTGCCATTTTCCATTGGTTTTGTCCTCAGAGATTTCGCACAATCGACTACTATGCCATAGGAATTTACCTTTGCTAGACTCTTAGGCGGCTGCGAAAAGGTTCGAGCGCGTCGATACTTATAGAGAGCATAATAGCTCGCGTAATCCGATGATCCGCAACATCACTAGCCACTAAGTCACATGATTTTTACTGCGATCTGACATAATTACTGTTAGATGTGCACGCATTGATTAGTTCAGATTCATATCCTTTAATTAAAATATGGCCACCAATATCACTGAAGAAAGCATTTTGACGAACTTTTTGCTGCCGCCAGCACCTCTGCCTTCTATATTGCCACTGAAGGCCTTTACTGCATTATTTCCTAGCTCGCTCCAATCGGCTCCAGTGATTAAGGCTCTATACCGCGATCTTCAGTCCCAAAGAATGCTCATTGCTGATGTAGTAAGGCAGAATATCAAAAATGAGAAAAAGAGGGGAATAAAGCAGCACAGGGCAGTACTTAGAGCAAGAAAAATAGAAGGACAAGTTGATGACATGATAGATGATGAAGTAGAGCTTGAAGAAATTGTATGGTATCTTCAAAATTTCTAATTAGTAAGGTTACCACTAAATGAATGAAAAGCTATTGGGCCCCTCTTGCAACCTGCCGCAGCCTAAGTCACACACACTGAAATCCATCGTTCCAGATATGGCTTTAGCTGTGGAAGCATTAGAGTCGGAAGTATGGCAGTTGAATAATGAGCACAAGAAAAATTTAGAGGAAATTCGTTCCATAGTAGGAGACCTTAGTGATCTTCGGTATGGAAAGCTAGCAAATTCACAGCTGAGGGACCTGGTAATCGAAGGATGTTTGAGGCTCGAAAGCGCCTGCGATGACGACTAGAGAGCACCAAATAGGACATTATGTGGCATAAAGGTCCTGAGGAAGGAAGTAAATGATTGTACTATGCATATCTTGGCTTTGAGAAAGTTCAAATTTATTATGGCTGCATTGTAGATTCACACAAAAGTCACTGCAGAGGATTATTTTCCCGACAGGTTATGTCGTATGCAAATGTTGATGGTTTTTATCTCATTTTGTCTACAATCTACACAGCCTCGAGCCACGCACGTGTTAGATTTGTGTTCTGTGTTTAAACGTGCTACTTCAGTTGATGAATATCTCGCAAATCGGACTTCTCCGCCCCGGAACACATCTTGTCATTGCTCCTACATATTTTCGTCATCAGAATAGATATCTGATTCAATGCGAAGATAGGTGACCATTTAGCCCAAGAGTTTGCCGTAGTGCTAAAACTCTATGAACACTGAGCCTTTTACCCAAAAAGAGAAGTTCGCATATTCATCTATATCTCCCTTCTTTTTTTTTGCATCAGATTTTAATTGCGTATGCAGCTATCTAGCTATGACACGATATCAAAGAAAAGTACAGAATAGATGCTTCAACGTAAAGGAAGAGCACTCATGCCTCGGATTTCACTCACAAGTACCACAGCGAAGTTATGGTGTCTTTTTCTTCACCCCAAGACAACCCTCATCCGTGAATACCCACCCAGGGGAACGTCTCAAAAACCCTAGGTTACTTAGACATGCCTCCATCATCTTTCAACTTTTCTCCGCGCGAAACGTAATCTGAGATGTCTCCTTCCCAAGCGGAATCGGTGCCCAGGCTACTCAGACTATACCGGAGAACACCACCAGGAGGCGGACCACAACACCTTCCATCGTTGGCTTGTGTTTACAGTGGCAGCTGCACTCTCGCAAGCGAAGTCTTGGCGCGCACAAAGCTTAATTCGTGAAACTCTTGCCAAAAACCGATATTTCACGCCCGTCGAATTCGTATCCCTCTTCTGCATCATCTTGTAAACTTGTCCCGATCCCCCTCACGTCAATCCCAAAGAGCTATCTCCCAGATTTGTGCTCCACGCTTTGCTTCCTCCGTCGGGTATAAATATCGGCGTGGGCGTGTATTTGGTGGTCGAGGCCAGAGAAAGTCGACGAGAGGTGTGGTCATTGAAACGAGGATGTACTAGGTCGTACTTGTAGACTTGATGAAGCTTAGTTGGGAATCGGACTCTCTGGGAGTGAAAGATTGACATGGTGGAGTAATTTGAATTTTTGCCTCGTGGGCCAACTTCTTTGATATTGCGAAGTTTGACTGAACTTGGCTCTGAGAGAATATTTCACTCCCAGGTTCTTTTTTTTTTTGCATCAGATTTTAATATCAGATTTTAATTGCGTATGCAGCTATCTAGCTATGACACAATATCAAAGAAAAGTACAAAAATGATGACTCAATTTACAAGAGGAGCACTCATGCCTCGGATCATTCCCAGGTCCGTAGAGCACACCGCGTACAAGTGTTCAGTCTTGCCCTCCTCTCCCTTCTTTGTAACAGTCGAGGTCGACTTGATCCAGTCCACCATCTCCGTATCGGGTGCTGGGTACGCTCCGGAAACTCATCGGATGGCTTTTCCTCCATGATCAAGGGTGGTTGATGAGTAGGGCTCCGACCCTACCATCTGATCTGATCGTGGTTAGCTTCATGATAATGGTGATGGGGGGATGTGTTGAGAGATGAAGACGATACAGACGGCGAAAGCGATTGGGAGTCCTCGTCGAAGTGAGGACCTTGTTACTCAATCTCGGCTCTGCAGACTCTACAGTGAGAGCCAGAGGTTCGTAGGGGAAACCACTAACAGGTGTTGAGAATAGTCCCCCTACTTGCGATTGAAACCCGAGGCATGAGTACTCTTCTTGTGAATTGAGTCATCTTTTCTGTACTTTTATTTGATATTTTGTCATAGCTAGATAGCTGCATACGTAATTAAAATCCGATGCAAAAAAAACTTGTCACGGATAGGAATCGATAAAATTCCACTAATCCAATATCTCAGAAGAGTGCTCATCTGTTTCCGTATTTCCAAATACTATTTGCCATATCCTGTAGTTGTTGAACTATTCGTACCCCTAGATAATTTGTTGTGGGAACCAAAAAAGACTGACGTCAGACGCCGTGCGTAGTAAAGAAACTGGCGGGAAATGCAACAAGAAGTTCCAAATTAAACTTATTCAAAGTCGTTACCAAAATATTTGGGTAAATCAGAGAAAAAATAAAGACCTCTTCAGGTTTGTGGGGGTCTTATATTTTTTAGACTCATCACAAGCTTACGGAATATATGGCAATGGACTAACTACCTTCTCTACAAACACGAAATTTTTATGGAAGTCAAAACTGATTCACAAATTTCTCCGCAGACCTATATAAACTCTGTAGGTAATTGGTATTGGTGTTTAATATGCTGCACAAATCTATAACCACCTAGCCCGCTAGGCCCCTCCTTGGCGTAAGACTCACCTAGTAAATTGCTCCTGTCTACTTTTGTAACGAACAAGACATCTTTGATGTAATACTCGTGACGGATAGCCTTTAAGCTCAGTAGTTATACGTGCAATCTAGGTAGGTAAGTTGTCAAAGGACAATTGGAAACTTAAGATAGTGATGGAGATAAAGTTACGTTGAAAAATATTGGTAAAAAAATAATGAGTTATTTCCTTGCTTGCTATATTGAATTTAATTCGTCATCGTTAGTCGATTCAAGGTTGGATGGCGCAGTGGTTTACCATTCGGGCCGTTCTTCCAGGGTCGTCACTGGGTAGCTTGAACACTTACCTCAATAGGGATAGGAGAAAGCTGCTTCGAAACTGGTATATCCTGCACACTCCTCTATCTGGCGGTGATATTGCACTTGTGGGGTGATGAAAGCACACTCAGATAGCCATAGACTATTTACGCCTTTCTCTGTGGTGAGTATGCATGGAAGAGGTTGTACACCTTAAGAGTTAACCTCGTATGGCATCTGCATCTGCAAATGAAGTCTGAATGTGAGTGTTCTACATGTTAAATTAATTCATCCTACTTAAATTACGTTTCTTCCGATAAAACCTGCATGGGTCTCAAGGCGCCCAATCAGGATAATGGATAATTTATTTATTTATTAATCAATTCACCGTGATCATGAGACTACTTATAGATTCAAAACGTAACCCTAAGTACGCCACACTGTGGCGCAACACCAAATCGCTTATCTTTGTAGATTTATTTTTCGTTCTGTATCGCTCGTAGCCTTGATAAGCCCAACGCAGCAGGATCAAACACTACAAATACGAAGAGATGTCTCTTGAAGAAAAGCTCGAAAAGATACGCTCACCCAAACTTCAGAGCCAACAGAGTGTAAAAGTTTCCCTGACCGTACAAAACTATTCATGGGCTGACAAAATCAAAACCAGACGCGGATAGTTCTATCTACAGTTGAAGAAACTTTACGCGATCAGAAATCAGAAATAACACCTGCAGCATATATAGCAGTACTACTCTCGCTTTTGCGACAAGCAATCTCTACAACAAAGCTCAATAAAGATCTAGCAACTTCACTCGTTTACCTCTTAGATGTCGTTACACCTTTCGCCCCACAAGCCCTCCTGCGATCAAAATTTTCTCAAATACTTACAAATTTGGCACCAGCATTAACTTATCCTGAGGCCGATGCACCACTTCTCCGACCATCTATCGGATGTCTTGAATCACTATTGATATCTCAAGATACTGTAGCATGGAACATGGGCCAATCTCAGGTTGGCCCACGCCGGGCATTAGCTGGACTTCTAGTGTTGGCAGCAGACCACAGACCCAAGATAAGAAAGAGGGCCCAAGAAGCTATATCCAAAGTTCTTAAAAATCCTCCTCTAAGCGTTGCTGTGGACCATCCTGCTGCTGATATGTGTGCCGAGAGTGCTCTAAAGCAACTAAAGGATCTAGTTTCAGCAATAAATCAGGATCAGAAAAATAAAAATAAAGGGAATATTGAAGGTAACCCAAGTTTGATCCATGCATTGCAACTAGTAAAAACTATTGCCGCTGCATCAGGTGGCTGGCCCGTGAGGAACATAGAGTCTCTATGTGAAGTTTTACTACAAATCTCCAAATCAAGCAATGAATATATGACTATGGCCGCATTCCAAGTATTTGAGATAATTTTTGAAGGCATGGTAAGTGCGGAAACTTCATCAAAGCTCCCACGGTTACTTGAAGTCATTTCCGAGATTCGACCTTCTCAGAGTGATACGCAACTTCTTCCACCTTGGATTGCTATTGTTTCTAGAGCCAATGAAGTATCAGCTCAGGTTCATCCTATCGAGACCTTTCAAGCACTGCCAGAGTTATTTATTTTAATATCTAGCTTTCTATCATCCCCTTCTTTTGCGATTCGCGACGCTGCCTCCGCATGTCTGATAAGACTCATGGAAACTTGTATTCCTCCTTCTATACTCCTGCAGCCATCAATATACGACGAGAAAATTATAGAAAAATTAGGTAGTGCAGCCTTGAATCTGCTCAGCATTAAGTACCAGGCAGCCTGGCCTGAAACTTTCAAAGTTATAAGTGCTATGTTCGATGGTCTTCGCTGGAAATCTGAGAGTATCTTACTTAATGCGGTGAAAGTTATCGGAGAGATGCGAGAAAACGATTCATTCTCCGGAAAAAAAGATGCAGATGCAGTGATTGGAAAGGCTGTGAAAGCAATCGGGCCAGAAGCTGTTCTACGAGTTCTGCCCCTAAATCTTGTCGCGCCAAAACCTGGCCAACCTGGTCGTGCATGGATACTTCCTTTATTACGAGATTATGTTGGGAACACTAGACTACAGCATTTTATCACTGAATTTATACCTATGAGTGAAAATATTTATCAACGTATTCTCAATAATGGTGAGGCTGAGAAAACAATGGAAATAAAAATATTTGAGACTCTTGTTCAACAAATCTGGTCACTACTACCAGGATATTGTGATCTACCATTAGATTCTGTAGAGTCATTCGACCAAAAATTTGCTGAATTGATCTCAAACTTAATATATAAGCAAGTTGAACTTCGACCCGATATCTGCAGAGCCCTACAGAACCTTGTAGTATCTAATCAAGATATATTAGCTTTGGATACTGACGACGATCCTGTTTTACAGAGACGAGTCTCGAAAGCTAAAGCTCAGGAGAACTTAGATCATCTCTCAAAATTTTCGAATAATTTTCTAGCCGTACTTTTTAATGTCTACAGTCAAACCCTGCCTCAATATAGAGGATATATCCTACAATGCATTAATACTTATCTTAGCATAACGCCCCCTAACCAAGTAAAGGAAACTTTTGATCGAGTCATAGAAATGCTTCAAACTTCTCTAACCGACGCCGAAACTCAAAAACAATCAGAAAAACCAAAGCATAACTTGAAAGATACAGCTAAATCAATGCCTCCAACCAGCCACACACTTATGGATCTGGTCATTGCACTCTCAATCTATCTACCACAGGATAGCTTTAGTCTACTTTTCAAAACTGCAGCCATCATAATTGCAAAAGACAACGATGTCCAATTACAGAAAAAAGCATATAAACTCATCCCCCGATTTTCAACTTGTGATATTGGCAAGAAGGCACTACAAGAAAGAAATTGTGAACTCCAAAAACTACTGATTGAAAGCTCAGAGAAAGTAACTGCTCCGGTTAAAAGAGACCGACTCTCGGCTATTTCGACACTAATTAAATATCTTCCGATTGATTTGCTTCACTTTATACCTGAGATTCTTTCAGAGGTTGTGATATCCTGTAAAGAAACCAACGAAAGAGCACGGGCAGCGGCCTTTGACCTTCTTATACTCATGGGTGAGAAGATAGCCGAATTTTCAGGAGCAACAATTGAGAACAGAAAAATCACTCATATGCCTGATGATGCACCTTCTGTCATCGCATCTCTTGATGAATATATCACGATGGTAAGCGCTGGTCTTGCAGGTGGCTCGCCCCATATGCAGTCAGCTTGCGTCACAGCTTTGACGCGGATACTGTACCATTTTTACAAGAATTTGACGCAAGAAACTGTGTCTGAGCTTGTTGAAACATTAGACCTTTATCTCTCTTCGAATAACCGTGAAATTGTTCGAAGCGTTTTAGGCTTCGTGAAAGTTTGCATTATCAGTCTACCAACTGACATAATCCTGCCTCGACTAGCTTCTCTCCTTCCAAATCTGATGGTCTGGAGCCATGAACACAAAGGCCAGTTTAAAGCTAAAGTCAAGCATATTATCGAACGTATGATTAGGCGGTTTGGTATAGATACTGTTAATAAATACTGTCCCATAGAAGATCGCAAGCTTATTTCCAATATTCGGAAAACAAAGGAGCGAAATAAAAAACACAAGGAAGCTTCCAAGGCCTCTAACGTGGAAGACAACGAAAAAGAAGATGAGGCCTCGTCCAAGAGAAAGATGCGTTTTGAAAGTGGATACGATGAGACTGTCTATGATAGCGATGATACTTCGGGCTCGGATTCTTCTGATGATGAGGTGCTTATTGGGAGTAGAAAAGGTCCCAAGAGGCAGAGCGCGACTTATATCGTCGAGGACGAAGATGATCCATTGGATCTATTGGATCGAAAATCTCTCGCTAATATCTCATCGACGAAACCTCTAAAACACAAGGTACCCGTAAAGCACAAGGTCAAGGTAGATTTAGACGGAAAGCTTTTGCTAGGCGAAACCGATGACGCTATGGAACTAGATGAGACTGTGGGAGAGGTCGAGAATGGTGTGGGTGCATATGTCAACGCTATCAAAGGTCGGAATGCCGCGCAAAGAGGGCGAGGTGGCCGATTAAAATTCTCGAATAAACGGAGCAAAGAGGACGAGGAAGATATGGATATTGATGCGCAGGAGATCAAAGCTGTCAAGGATCAGATTGTCGTGTCGTCACGCGCGAGGTCTACTGCTCAAAAAAGCAGGGGACCGAGCAGTCGTTCAAGTGGGAGGGGGGGCATTGCCAACGGGCGGAGAGGACTCGGTCAAGAGAAGGGGCGGACACCAAGTGACGGGCGGTCGCGGGGCCGCGGTGGCCGAGTCATGAAACCCTCACGTGGAACGTCACGTAGAAAATAATTGAGTGAATTTCGCATTGTGAGCGGGAGTCTCAAGTATTAATGTCGTATAGCTCGAAGTTCGAATATCGTTACGCTTTGAGGCTCGAGTCGATGATAACTCTTCTTTATCTAATATAATATATTTCCAAGTTCCTCTCTAATAGAGCCTCTAGCTACATCAATGTCTTATATGCTCTGAAAATGCTCTATCAGGCAATGATTTCTCACTATGCCCGCTAGCTACATTCTCGTCTGTAGCTTGTTCTCCCTAAGACAACTCTCATAAGTCTTAGTCCTGTGGTACATTCGTATAAATGCAGCCTTGAAGGCCATTCATGCTAAGCCCGAACGCTCGAGATATTGCTCTAGATATGACCCAGATCCTAAACGTAGCAGGCTACGCTGAGTAATTTAGACCACTTAATACGGCTAGCTTGTGATTAGTAAGCTACGTACTGGAAATAGACTTCGGAGATGGTGGTTAGGGATAGACATAATTTTAGGGCTCAACCTTGACCATTGCATTCTGTGGAATTAGCTGTAATAAAGCCACTAGTCATATTGTCATGATACTGTTTCAATTGCGATCGATCAGAACAGACATCTCTGCTTCAGGCATCAAACATTACTGCTATCCAACTATCATGGGTTTTGTCCACATGTGAAATTCGGACAGAAAAGTAAAGAGCGTTGGTAGTTCTCGCTCCTCCGAGCTGAATTGATTGTAGCTGGGCGAGAGAGAGCTCTAGATGCGTTAAGACCTTGGAGCTACAGCGAATCAAATTCAATCGCTCGAGCCGTAAGCCGGCTGCAACGCTCTAAATATTATCTTGCACTGACGTATTGGTTCACAAGTCCATCGATACGAGACCAAATACCTAGATACTCACGAAAAAACTCCGTTCCCCCTCCAAGGCTTTGACCCTGGCGCGCTCGACGATAGGATCGACGCAGCTGGTCCGGATTCGCTCTGTAGTAGCTGGACTGACTAAACGCAGGAGACCCGATCCCTCATCGACTCCAATCTCGGCGCTCGTCCCATACTGGCTTCGAGCTGCCTTCAACGAATCACGAATAGCGAAGAACACTGCGCTACCTAAGAAAAGTGGCGGCTCCCCGACGCCACGGCTTCGTTGAATCGTCCGCAAATTTTTCCACTCGACGCCTTTGAGAAGAGAGACATTGAACTCTTGAGGTATATCGCGAAAGCCGGGAATCTTGTAGGTGCCGGGCCCGCGTGTTGCGAGCTGCCCTTTCATGGCGCCGCTCTCGTACCATAGGCTTTCTTCGCTAGTGAAGAGGCCCATCCCCTGTACAAAGGCCCCTTGGACCTGGCCATAATCAATACTGGGGTTGATACTTTTCCCGACATCCATCTTCACATCCGCCCGTAGGCAAGTCCACTCTCCGGTCAAGGTATCAACCTCTACTTCTGCCATGGCAACGCCCTGGGTAAAGTAGAAAAACATCTGACCGGTATTTTCCCCCCAAACATACCCAATATCGGGGGTTTTGTAGAAGCCATTAGCTGAGAGATTTACACGATCTAGATACGCAGCACGGGCGAGCTCCTCCATAGAAGCCTGTGGACCAAGCTTTGCGCGATATGGGACTAGACGAGTATTGATCTGGGTACAGGCATCCAGTATTGCGTAGCCGTTTAAATCCGACGACGCCGAAGCAGCAGTAGAGGATGTATTGGCTACAGTATTTGTGGCTGTTTCGGAAATAAAAACAGCGGACAAAGGGACTCCTAGAGCCTCAGCAGCGACCATTGTCATTTTAGTATGAAGGCCTTGGCCCATTTCTGTTCCACCGTGAGCGACGAGGATAGAACCATCTTGATAGACATGAACAAGAGCACCAGCTTGATTTAGGAATAATGCTGTAAATGAGATTCCAAATTTAGTAGGGATCAGAGATAGGCCACGTTTCTTCCATCGATGTAAGGAATTGAATTTGGTTACTTCTTTTCTACGCTCAGCATATAAACTTTCATCCTGAACCTGCTGGTACATCAAAGGTACATGCCAGTCTTCCAGTGTTTGATTAAAATGAGTTGAGTCGCCTGGCTTGTACAGGTTTATTTGACGAAGTGTTTCTACGGGTATGTCGAGCCGATCCGCAATTTCTTCCATGAAAGTCTCGGCAATGAATAGTCCTTGAGGTCCTCCAAATCCTCTAAATGCTGTATTAGACATGGTGTTAGTCTTGCATAATCTACCTCTCACATCAATATTAGGTATGCTATAGCAGCCGTCAATGTGGCTGAGAGCTCTATCACAGACTGCCGCACTAAGGTCCTGCGACCAGCCTGCATTACAAAATACTTCTGCTTCAAGAGCCTGAATTTTACCATCTTTATGAACTCCGACTTTCCACTGGGCTAGGAATGGGTGCCGTTGCCCAGAAGTGATCATGTCTTCATCGCGGTTTAACTGGCAACGCACCGGACGGCCAGTCTTTTTAGCCGCCAGAGCTACGATTGCACTGAGTTGAACCGAACGTGTTTCTTTCCCACCAAAACCACCACCTAGACGTTTAACTTTACAAACAACTTTATTGGCAGAAAGATTACAGACTTGTGCAACATAAGTCTGACTTCAATTTATTAGCTTTGAGACATTTTGCTCCAATTTCGCTTACGTTTCAGTAGGATTTTGTGTACTAGCATAGATCTCTATTTCACCGTCTTCTGGTTTCGGGATCGCTACACACGCCTGGGTTTCGAGATAGAAATGTTCTTGGCCCCCAATTCTTGCAAAACCAGTGAAAATGTTGTCCGCTTTCGAGAAGGCTTCCCTAGTGTCACCCTTCTTAATATACCTAGAATGCTGGAAGTAGCTTTCATTTTTTATCGCCTCCTCAATTGTGAGAATTGCTGGCAACTCGTTATATTTTACTTTGACAGCTCTTGAGCCCTGTAGAGCTGAATGGGGAGTTGAAGCCAGCACAATTCCAATGGGCTGTCCCGCTGTAAATACTTCATCAACGGCAAAAAATGTCTCGTCAGAAATAGGAGCTCCCCAAAAATTTGCCTTCGGTGAAGGCATATCTGTATGATCTAACCAATCGACAACTCCAGGAATCTCTAATGCTGGAAGATAATCAACTGAAAGAATTTTAGCATGCGCTTTGGTTGACAATACAAGACTACCAAATAGCTCGTTTTTCCGCACAAATAAGTCGTCAGTGTACTGTGCTTCACCACAGGCCTGCTTGAGTGCTGCTAAGTGAGGCTCTGGTTTTCCAATGATCCTCTGTTGATAAGAAATAGCACAATCCTTGTCTTCCCAACCAGTAGAAATTTTTCGTTTAATCTCTGATGTTTCCTCTTGATCTAGATAATTATTTAGGAAATCGAGCTTAGATAAAATTTCATTATAAAAGCGATAGAAAAATCCAAATGCAAGCGATCTCCGAAAAGTTGCCATCCCCCCTGGAACACTGAAACTTAAATTAAAGTCCTCTTCTAGAGATTTCATGGCACCTTCTATAGTAGTTGTATCGTCAATTCTTTTTCCATTCAAATACGCACTGGCATTTTTTGCAACAATTGTTATTGGCGCCATACCGCCATACACTAGGTTAGCACATTTTATCACGTTTGACTTACTTAAAGTGACCTTAAATGCAGCATTAACAATCGCAATATCGTCATCTTTTCTCTTGGAATGCTTGTAGGATTGAAAAAACTCACCCGCTTCGCTTAAAATTGGTATTCTGATGCAAAAAATGATGGAATTTGGGGGTAAAGCAGTCCTTCGGTAACCATTGAAGAATTGTGACATTTCTATCTCTTTTTGCCCTTCGATATTTTTTGTAATTATTGTAGCATTTGCGGCGAGAAAGATTGGATTGAGGTCAGAGATGGGTGAAGCAGTAACCAAGTTACCAGCGGGAGTACCGACGTTTCGTATCTGGCGCCCAGCAAAGTATCCAAGTTGTTTATGAATTGCTGAGAACACTTGAGCACGAGCTGGACCGTATCGGTCGACAGCTTCAAGTGCGATTGTTTCCAGGTCAGTAAGAGTGACATTTCCACCGATATCAACGTAATCTTCTCGAAATAAAAATTCCTTTAACTCGGGTATATCCCCCACGTATATAGAGACTGCATGTTGCATAGCCTTGAAACGAAGCTCGATTTGATGCTCTGTGGATCCGCTGACAATTTTTGCCGAAGGACAGACATTCTTTATCTCTAACAATTGTTTTACTGTCACAGGACGAAACCATTTCTTCTCGTGGCCTCCAAACACCAATGGTTTAAAGTCGTGTTTCGTGAGGGCAGGTGGAAATATAAGCTCAGTATCGTGATCATATTTAATAAGCTGAGGCGGTTTACGATTGCTACTTGATGGGCTAGAGTCCCGTTCGATGACTAGGCCTTCGAAGATTTTGGTATCATTTGTCGCTTTCATACAGCACCCATCACTTGTCTTTAACTTGCAGCACTTTGTGCCTACGCTAAACGTCTGAGCCGCGTCAAGAATTGGACGATAACCCGTGCACCGACACAGATTTCCATCAAAAGTTTCCTCCACATCCTCTGCTGACGGCGTGGAATTATTTCGCAATAGGGCATAGAGACTCATCACAATGCCGGGCGTGCAAAATCCACACTGGCTCCCATTCCCCCTCGCAATCCGCTCTTGCGTTAAATGTGGCCGATCAGTGGTTCCAATCCCTTCGATGGTAATAACATGCTTTCCATCAACACTAATCAAGGGTGCCAAACAGGCATTAACACTCGCATGATATATCTTATGAGTTGTTGGATTATACTGAGAAATAACAACTGTACACGCACCGCAACCTCCCTCTGCACACCCAAGTTTTGTTCCTGTGAGTCCTATATCTCGAATATATTCAAGGAGGGTTGTATTGGGATCTATGCGGTCTAGGACGATGCTTGTGCCGTTGAGATAGAATCGAAGAGCTCCTCCCCATGAATCTGTAATCGACGAAAGAGAAGGCATCTTTATTTCAAGCCATGTACTATAGAATTTTTTTTCACCAGTTAAATAGAAGTATCCTGCAGTTGTGATGTCGATGGCTTACTTAGACTCGTGAAGCATTGTGCTGCCTGGACCAGAACCGCGCGGGTGTAATACCACGTGATAAGTCAAAATTTGCAAAGATATTATATTAATCTTTTGCGGATTCTATAAGCGATTGGGAAATTTGATCGCCCTGAAGAATAGAGGATAATTCATAGATTTTACTTGTTTTCATGGAACTCTGAGGTCGCAGTCATGCAACATGGCATTCAATAATACTTATAGCTATCTGCTATCTGGAATATCTATGAATATGGTACGACATGGCTCGAGCGTCTTTCATAGAGTTTGTTAGAATTTAGAATAATTGGGGCTATCAAGTAGGCCACGTATCCGATACACACGTGACTACAAATTCTGTACTTACTTTCACTTCGGTAATAACTCGCATTAATGTACTCTACAACCTCAATGACTGAGGGGTCATTATTTCCTTAATAGAGTTCATATTTTTGCTTTGGAACATACTCAATTCAGGTTGCATTATCTGTTTCCATTACCAATGCCCAAAATACGGGATAATTTTTTATCAGTAATATCTATTTATCTCTATGATTTGTGATAGTACATGAAGCTTTAAACTAGACTTATTTAAAGTTATGCCCCGTCGAGATCCACATTTTTTGAATTGAACCAAAGATAATAATTCTACAAATTTCAGCCTTCAAACTTGACTCAAAAGCTCCGTGACGCCGAAATATATCCTACAAGTCTATCTACTTAAATTTGCTCCAAATAACAGCCATGATTAGCAGGACCAAAACTGTGATAATGGTGATCATTATAATTCTATTCGTAGCCATTCTTGCAGTGAGTCAGTAATTGTTTGTGAGAAATCAGAGATGTAATTCAAAACTTACCTTCGAGCCATTCCTCTCAACGTCTTGACACTCCTGTCAACGTATCCTTCACTCTCAAGAAGGACATCACCAGTATGCCGAATCGTTTCACGTTGCCTGTATAAATCCGCCAGAGTACTAGCTCCAATGGCTTCAGTCTCACTAGCCAGTGCCTGGCTTGCTATTAATCTTTGAGAACTACGATCCAGTCTATCTGTCCCAGACAGCAGCTGCTGTCGCTGTTCTAATTGCACATCGTTCGGATTATCGGAGTATCGATTTCCAAAAAGAGCAGATCTTGTATCTGCTAAGGTGCGTAGTTTTCTTCTCGCAGTATCAACGTCCGATTCATGATGGTGGAAGCGTTGATTAACTTTCGTTCTGATGGAAGATGGAATATTTTGCTTCTCAAGGCGCATTTGATCAAGCTTCAACAAATATTAATATCTATATGGAGATTTGATTATCGTGAGCTCACTATTTCATTGGCCTCATCGATGGTTCGTTCTGCTGATGTTATGGCCGCTTTGCGTGGTTCTCCGCCTAAGTCCGGGATTTGGTCTAATTTTTGATTTAAATCAGCTTGCACCAGCTTGAGCTCTGCTTCATAGCTGCTGAAAAGTTCAGATCCGATGTCTGTATCAAGTGGGTTGGCCATTTTGACTGTGGATCGATAGTTCAAATTCTTGACTGACAGGAAACAGTTCCCGTCGTTGTGATATTCCTTAGAGTGCTCCGGTAAGTCTTAGCTTGTTGACAAATTCATGACAAGTTTGGCCCGACTTACATTGGACGTTTAGGTGCGGGTCCGCTGCCAAACTGACGAGTAAGATACAAGCCACACAGGTTTGCTCATGAAACCTTACCACGTGATATATTGATGACAAAGCGGTCGATTTTATGTACGTGGGCACCGCCGCTTGCGACTGGTGCTCCAAATACAGATTACCCAAACACGAATGTTGTTTCATTTGTGTTCAGTCCTGCTGCCTACTGCATGATACCTTATAATAAACACGGGTCTGACTACGTCTGACCGGGAACTAAATCAGTCACACCAATTACGTGGGTGCATTAATTTCATAATGCCGTTAATCGAATCCCTCGATCCTAGATCCTCGAGCCCTAGAAACAGTCGTAACTTGTGACTCTCCCTTGTTCATTTTATCTTTCCATTTGACGATGTCTTCCCTAACAGCTCGTTCGCACAGGAAAAAGGTTGCTATCATCGGCAGTGGCTCCGCAGGAATTGGTGCATTATGGGCTCTGAACCGAACTCCTCATGATGTTTATATTTATGAGGCGGCCAATCGACTCGGAGGGCATACGAATACCGTTGAGTGGAAATGCGGCAAGACTAAAACCCTCGTGGACACGGGATTTATTGTCTTGAACTCGGCAACCTACCGTGAGTACTCGTTCAATTGCTAACGTATCAGTAGCTAATAAAGTATAGCGAACTTTCGAGCATTTCTTAAGTATCTTAATATTCCAACAGAGCCGACAGAAATGACGTTTAGTGTATCGCGCGACGAAGGGATATTTGAATGGGCAGGGAGCTCATTGTCGGCTGTTTTTGCGCAACGCAGGAACATCTTCTCACTTCGAGTATGGAGAATGATCTTTGACATTATACGTTTCAATCATTTCGCATTAGACCTACTACATCATGAAGATCAGTGTCAAATTCCATTAGTTAACGGCGAGAATATCAGAGGGAAGCAAGCTATCTATGCAGACAGCCAAATGACTATTGGTGAATATCTCAAACGAGAGGGTTATTCCGACGCATTTAGGGATGACTATCTAATTCCGATGACCGCTGCTGTATGGAGCACCAGTCCAGATAAATGTACTCTCGAATTTCCAGCGGTCACCTTGGTTCGATTCATGTAAGTTTAAAAGTATACAAAAAATGAATTCGATAGATGGCTAATAGAATTAGGTGGAATCACCATCTACTGAGTACTGTTACATCTAGGCCTCAATGGTTAACCATAAAACAAGGCGCCAAGAGTTATATCGAAGCGGTAATGAAAGGATTTCCACCTAACCACGTTTTCCTGGGGGAGCCCGTCATTTCTGTTACAAATGACATGTTGGATAAGGTTCGACTACATTTACGGAACGGGAATTCCGAGGTCTATGACCACGTCATCATTGCCACCCATGGCGATCAAGCATTAGAGTTGGTTCATGACGGATCAACCGCGGAGGAACGCAACATATTATCTGGATTCCAAACTAGCCATAACAGCGCCATTTTGCACTCGGACATTAGCCTTATGCCAAAACGACGTAAAGCTTGGACATCATGGAACTATATCACTAAGTCTTCTCCCACTTCGTCGAATATTGACCAGGTGTGTCTAACATACAACATGAACATCCTTCAACATATTCCAACGTCTGTTTTTGGGGACGTACTTGTAACTCTCAATCCCTTACAACTTCCACATCCAGATAGTATCCAAGGTACATACTCTTATTCACATCCTCTGTATAATCCACGTGCAATCCGAAGCCAAAAGTTATTATCAAAGATACAGAACAGACGTGGAATAAGCTATGCCGGAGCATGGACAAAATATGGATTTCACGAAGATGGACTTAGCAGCGGGCTACGCGTTGCTATGGACCATCTGGGTGCCAAGCTCCCTTTTGAATATACGGATAGCACTTACTCTAGAGGAATAAAGCCCACTCTAGGTCTTACGGACCTGTTGGTTAGAGCGTTAATTTCGATCACACACTTCTACATTACTATAATTGAGATAGTTTTGGGGTTACATCACGTTCGAAAAGTCAATAATCGCCATAGGGATTTAAAAATAACATAGAATTAACTCTTTTTGCCGATATAGCTTGTCACCCACCTGTGGGAATTAACTGTTTTCCTTGGTTTACCTCTAAAATTACGCATGATAATCAGCGAGGGCTCGAGACTAGCGCTTGACTGAATGCCAAGCACTGCTTCAAGTCATAGTAGGAGCCAAATCAGATAATTATCCTACCTGTTAGGATTTTTTTCACTGTATGCATCGAGGCTCAGCCTAGAGTATGGGTCTTGTACTCAATTAATCTTATGACAGCTACAGAACACTTGATGTGCCGTCAGATCCGGTCTATTTTGTAGATTCTGGATAGACCGAAAAACTCGTCTCATCATCATAGTTCGATGCTAGCTAGATAAGTCTCAGCGAAACAAATAATCCTAGCCGACTGGAACCTTGGTAGATTACAATATGATGCTGATTTTGTGGAGCTGCTACTGACGAGAGTTCTCGCGCTAGTTTGGAGCACTCGATATGAAACGCACCCGGCGTAATAGATTTAGTACGGGATTATTTGTTGCTCACAAAGAGAATGCAGCAGGAGGTTTAGCCCTAATGACAAAATAGCCCATCCTTTTATTCTTGACTGAGCTCTTGGCCGATGCGCGTCAGCGCCACAGCCTCATACGTACCAAACGGCCATGAGCTCAAGTTTGTAGTGGAGCTTTTGCAGGGGTCTCAGCATGTTCACTAAGCCTACTTAGGCATAGATATCTTCCACATTGGGGTTAGTCCCAGTATTCCCGTAAATTGTTGATGAAATTTGTATAGCAACTATTTTCTGGGCATCATAGTCTGTAGTGGATCCTTCCTTGATACTAAACCTAACCAGTATAATGATCGGCTGCATAACTTGTGTGCAATTTTGCTACTTGACACTAAAACTTATCTACAAGACTTTAAAAGTTTGCAATCTACAATTTACAACCCCACCGTCTTAACTTGACCTTGGATCTGAACATGCAGCTGGAATATTTTCATGCCTCAATATCTAATTAGTCCCTCGTCTGAATCTAACACAGACTGGCACATTGCTGGTATACTCCCAATGAGTTCCGCAAGGTCTTCAGGAGACGCGGAATCCTATGCCTCCTTTACAATCTTGTGAAGACTATCTGGAGTACGTTGCCTTCTGTTACCCAGATTCGAATGATGACGTTGGATGTAATCCTTCATCCTATTACAAACAGCTTCAATCGGGCAAGGATCAGGCGAGTTGGCCGGCTAGAAGATCGGTTGAATGAGCCAGAGGCTCTCATCTTCCATTCTTTACCCACTTTTTGTCTATCCATAACACTGACGTCCAGACTTCAAATGTCCAATTGAGATGATCTTCGGACCACTCTCTGCGTGTATTCATAGTTTTTAGAGATACTGGAGGCTTTAGACGAGCTACATATCGTTGATATCCTCTTTTACTGAGTTTTATTTACATTACCCGCTCGCTGACACTGAGGTATCTAAAGGGGCTAGAGGCGAGTTCTATAAAGTATTGCGGCTGTTTCAGGTAAAGACTCAACATAAGATATAATCTGATTAACATCATCTGCTTTCATGGTTGAGGATGTTCTTTTTCTCTTTTTGGGGGAGACAGTTTCGCGGCGCAGTGAATAACTAACTTGCCCACGAAAAGTGCCTAATTGCGCGGCTGTCTGCGTCTGACTTTTGCCAGCTTCATAGAGCCCTTAAATCTGAAAATCTTTAATTTCAATTCGTTGATGTTTGATTCTTCGACTGGCTAAAATGTTTTGATCTCTAGATAATTTTTTGAACCGAGGTGGTGAAGTTGGGGACTGAGGTGTATTAGTCAGCAAAATAAGGTTAATATCGAGTAAAGCCATGTTATCTGCTAAATAAACAACTTTATTTTTGAGAAATATAATTCTTGTTATCAGTCAAGCACATTGTGGAAAGAGCTGTATAATCGCTCAGCAATAGGCGGATAGAGGAGTGGTGGAAAATAATTTTTTAGTAAACAGGGTGGATCTGCATAAAATCGACTGTGACAAGAAACCAAATTGTGCCCTTAGTCTGAGCCTTGAAATGCAGGACAAGAATTATATACCCTGTCGAATAAGTCGCTATCAGGGGTCTAAGCCCAGAAACGAATATGCACCCCAGTTAACTCCACTGCAAACTTGAACCCGTGGCTAGAGGGTAGGGTGCGAGATGTCTGCAGTGCTTACCCACGGCGAGTCAACGCACCTGACATGTGAAGCGTGGCGGTGCTGGCCTCAAAAACCTGCTGGTCATTTCCGCTTACAGCTTGGCAACAAGTGCTTGTTGAAATGACCAGTAGGCGTGCATACTGATTGAGTATGCTTCGGGCGCAATATGAGCCGATGGTCCGCAGCCTGTTCGCGTCAGTCCAATTGCAGGTGCGAGAAACAAGGAAACCCGAGGAGGGCAAGTCGTAACGATGGGCTCCTGCTCGCCTCGACCATCTGCTCTCAAATGTGCCGCATGATGGCGTGCCAATGTGTGTGTGGGTTTATTGCACTACATGAGTCTATGGCTACCTATAATATTGGACTCCTTTCCGACCCAGGCCACGCCTTTTATAGTGCTCCTTGCCTCTCTGGTTACTTCAAAAACCATGCGTATATTGCCCGTGATGAATAGCCACTCAGCTCAGTATTAACCCATGGAATTCAGCCACCTTTCGTATGGAGGATAGTCTCAAGGATGAGGGTTTGACAGTGTTCCACGGGCTGCGTTGTATAGCCTAGTGAAGATCTAGGTGGTAAGTGAAGATTATAAATGGGTCAAAGAGATGACAGGTCTTCGCTAGGAAGAGATGAATGGGCAACTAGTTGCAGTAGATGTTACACGTGGGTCTTGCTGATGAAGAACTGGGCAATGGATATATGGTCTTCCCGAAGAAGAGATGGGTAAACAAATGTATTGTAAAGGGTAAGTAAAGAAGACGTTGCGCGAGGAGTAAATCTCTCTCACGCCGAACTATTATATACAAGAGTAGAAGCCTTTGTCAACTGGAATTAATCGTAATCGATTCTTGCCCATATCTTCGCATTAATGGCTGTGTTCTTGTCCTTCTCTTCATGACTCTCTTGTATATCCTTACATGACTTTTTACGCGACTAATTGTACAGGGGAAGCTATTATTAAATTGATGGTTTTGATTAACTACCCCTTCATCTTATCATGAATAAATATTAGTATTAAAATTCTAATTACGGACCGGAGAAAGTAAATGAGGTGTTGACCGTAGTGGTAGCAAATTTGTCCTTCACTCAAATTATTTAGCTTTCGACGTACGAGCGCCAAAGCTTTACACATTGAAACAGTTACCACGCCATTACCCGTAAAGTCCTGGCAACGAGCCCTCAAAAACTTGTCTCATGCTTGCGGTGGCTACTGTGCAGACGACAGTCAGTGTGTCTAGGCTCGGGCATTGGATACACTTAGTCTGTGGAGTGTTATCCGGCCGCATCCATTCGCTAGAACGTTTCGCAACGTGGCCTTCAAAAATCAAGCTGCGGTCTATGTGAAGTTCAAGTCTTCAAATTTGGTCTCACGCGTAGACCCACAGGCACCGAGCCGTAGTATTGGCGGTTCAGATCTTGTAGCTATCGGACCGAGGAATCAGACCACTTCAATTTTATCGGCGTCAAAGGAAATGGATTTCCTAGAAGCTCATACGAGACCGCATCGATCTCTTACGACACAGCTATTGTGGCTCACGGGGACCTGTGACAATTCCAATCGCTGAAACTTCGTCCACATAGTTAAATCTTCATCGACTGCCTCCTTCCACTTCAGCCACATAGAGGAGGGATGGGATTGTTTCCAGCGGCTATCTTTGTGGGAGTCCGCATTTAAGGAAACTTGGACCAGTGACTCCGTCAAAGTTTCAAATACAGGTAGACCGACCCTGAAGGAAGAGTTTGGTTCACTCGATAGCTTATTCTGGCCAATCTATCTTCTCTATCCTTTATAGCATCCGTTCATGCATCATACCATTAAAAGTCCCTTATACACCAATTGTGAACGGAACTGCTTTCGGTCTTCTTTGAGTGTCGCATTTCTCATCATGGATGATTCACGATACAAGATCACTTTTAGATATGAAAGGGATCCCCCTGGAAAACAACGCTAGTAAAAGTACTTCGGATAGGAAATTATATGCTACGTGCTTCGCAAATATCCTCTCGAGATCTATGCTAGGAGAGAATAGCATAGCGATTGTTCACCAACCTTTAGCCGTGCTAATGTCACGATTAGATTTGAGGAAATGGATAACTTTCGTCAGTTTGAACACGTTCTGGACGCCATTCAGTCGCCTAGGGCCCTCGCTTACCGCACTTACCTCGCAGATTGTTGACGGCCGTACTACTTATTGGAAAGAATCTCGAAGTAGCTGCTTGGTAAGAGGGTCGGTGTATTCCGTTCTTCCCGTTCTACCCAACTCTGCCTCTTAAAGTAGGAATTCTGTCGCAACACTATTTTGGGATGAACATGGGTCGGGAGAGAGATCACAATATTGTTAGGATATTGAGAAAGTATAGTCACAAGAGTAAGATAATGCAGATGGTAATATGCGATATGTGAGGAATGTATGGATGTAGTACTAAGGGTGTGAAGTGATAAAGGTGTTATGTACTACAGATGTGGACACCTTTCACTTGACCAACTAGCTGACTAAGCAGCATTTCCTAACAAATATGTTGATAGTTAGTTAGTCACATGGATTGGTGTAGCTTGGCGTATCGCCTTTAAGGCTGACACGCCTGTATCTAAGAAGAAGAACAACAATCATCACATCATCGGGAGACCCATTGCGAACGCGTACAGGTGTAGTTTTTTCGACCGACAAATTCCATCCTATATTCTTGCAGCGCAGTCATAATGATTCTTGATTTATAGGATCTAAATTCTATGTACTGTTCAACTAGCACTCTTGGTTTAGTGGTAAAATCAGCGCTTCCCACCATCGAGTGCGCTGGCCCCGGGTTCGATTCCCGGAGGGTGCAACACTCCCTGAA